AATCGATAAGTTATTAATATAAAAAAAAATTAATAATTTTCATCATTGTTTTAAATTAGTCACGTGGTATTTAAATTGTTTATTTATTTATTTAATTTGTTTAAATTATTTAAACACGAGTGAAATTAAAGTGAAAATATGGTGAATTTGACAATTTCATAATAATAATAATTTTTATGGGATAAAAAGAAAAGCTTTCGCATTAAATTTTTTTTATATAAAAAAGTTTCTAGAAGCTTTTTCTTCAAAGCTCTTTTATCATTTCGGTTGTCTTGCTAATAAAACATAACAAAAAAAAAATTTCTCAGATAAACTTTAAACTTATGTAAATACATTTAAAAAAAAATAATAATAACAAAAACATAAAAGCTAATAAAAAAAAAAAAAGGGAGAAAAAAGGCATTTTAAATAATTTATAATATTAACAGATTGAAGTGGTGATAATAATAATAATGATAATGATAATAATAATAAAAAGATAAAAACTGGTCTGGGTTGTTGTTTGTTGTGTGCGTAATTTATAAATTTTAATTAAATAAAAAAAAAAAAAAATTTAGGAAACGTAATAATATTAAAATAATAATGGTTTTTATTTATTTATTTATTTAATAATGTTAAAAGGGAAATAATAATAATAATAATAATTTTTTTTTATCATCAAGAGAGAAATCAGAGAATAAAATTTTTTTTTTTAAAATATATTTTCCAATTAATTTTTTTTTATTATTAAAAGCAGAGAAAACTTGATAAAAAAAAAATGTTTTGTGAAAATCCCAGACATTTAACACCATAAACCTCTCTCTCTCTTACTCATTCGCTCACTCTCTCTCTCTCTCAAGATTTTTTTTTGATTAAATTTGTCAAAATTGAATTTTCCGATTTAAATAGTAATTTTTTTTGTGAATGTGAGGGCAAGCATTAAAGTTGACGACATTTTTTTTTTTGTTGTAAATTATTTTGGGGGTATACATAAGCTCATTAGTAAAAAATATTGTACAAACCGGTGTATATATATAAAATGCATTTTATTTAATTTCCTTCGTTGAATTTTAATCTTTTCAACCGGATAAAGAAAGAAAGAAAAAAGCCCGAAAAAGAAAAAAAAAGAAGAAGAAAATTTTCTTCTTTTTTCTTCTCTTCTCTCTCTTTTTTTTTTTTTTTAAATTAAAGAAAATGTTTTTCGCCTTAAATGCGTTTTTTTTTTTTTTTTCATTTTTCTTTTCCAATGGAAGAAAAAAAAAAAATATAGTTCACAGGGTATAAAATTAAAAAGGTCTTTTTTTTTTTTTTTAAAACGGAAACTTTATTTTTTTTTTTTCCTCTCGGAAAATTTTTATGATTTTTATTTTTTTTAAAAAAAAAAAAAATTACTTGAAACTAATTTTAAGCTTAAATAAGATTTTTGAATCATTCATTTCAAATACGATTTTCTTTTTTTTTTTTTTTGCTTTAAAATAATTGCTTTTTAAAAAAACTTTTTTTTTTTTCTTTCCCTTTTTCCCCCCCTTCCCCCCTTTCCCCCCCCCCATAATCATTCGAAAAAAAAATTAATTTTAAATTAGAAAAAAAAATAAAAAAAGAGAAAAAAAGACTTTAACGTTAAATAAAAAAAAAAAAAGGAGGGAAAAAAGAAAAAACTCTAACTATTTAAAAAAAAGGAAAAAAGGAAAATTCAATAACAATTTATTGAGTTTTACGTTGATTGAAGTGTAATGAAGTGAAATTTTCTTTTTTTTTCGATGGAAAATTTTTTTTTTTTTTTATTGTTGTGCACACAATAAAATTTTTTTTTTTTAACTGTAAAATAATTTGTATATAATTTTTTTTTAAATTTTAAAATTGACGAGGGTGTAAATAATAATAATAATGATAATTTATTCAATTTATAAAACTAGTTATAAAAAAAAAATTAAGAATATGTTTTATTGTTGAATTTCTATTTAAAAAAAAAATATTACAAGAATTTTCACTTTAATAACGGGGCGGGGGGCGGGGGAGTATG